AGCCCCATGTCGGGCCCTGTGCTGTCAGCCTGGAGCCTGCTTCGGATTCTGTGTCTCCTTCTCTCTCTGCCCCTCCCCTCACTTGTGCTCTGTCTCTCTCTGTCTCTCAAAAATAAATAAATGTATATAAAAAAATTATTCATGATAAATTGGAATCATAATTCTATTTAATTAAATTCTATCTATACCTTTAAGAAATTTTAAAAAATCGAATTTTGACATGAATCTTAAATATCAGCTAAATGGCTACCATTTTTCAAAAATCAATTTTGCTTTATTTATTTATATGCAATGTTTTGGAATATTGGCTATGACTTATCAATCATCCACACTTATATAAAATATGCAGGGTTGGAATACTAAATGAGTATGTTCCAAGCATAAAGACTGCGTTTCAAAATAATTTTTCATCTATTCTCCTTCATACTTTATTTAATCTCATCACTGACTCCTGAGTGTTACCTCTTAATTATATACTATATATTTTTAATTCTTACCTATATCAATCTACTGTCTTCTCCAATTGGCTAATCTAATAGCCTATGAACTCACTTAACTCTGGGCCCCATCTTATACCACCTTGTAGATGCTACTTTTAGGCAAAAGGCTTGAACCCCACATTTGATGGCACACAGGAGGACCTCTGTTGGCCTGGGACTCTCCCCAGATTCTCCAGGGGTTTCTCGGGACTTACTCTTGGTGGACCAACTCTGGTACTACTTGGGGAACTGATGACCTCCAGCCAAAGTTACTTCTTGATGAGAATCTGAAGCCCCAGGGGGAACCCACCATACTGCCTGCCCTTGCTGGAAGGGCAACAGGGAAAAATGTGAGGCACTTTCATTGGATGGGGGCCAGCAGCTTGGGTGGGTGAAAGAATTCACCTGAGGCAGAGAGAAAGAGGTAGAAGTTTATTGAATACAATGTGAGGGAGTGGTGGACGGGACAGTCAGGAATGACTGTCTGGGACAAGACAGTGCTGAGGGGCCACAGTTACAGGGTGGGATGAGGGAGCATGGGGATGTATGGATTTTTCTCTTTTGGTAATCTTAGTAACTGTGCCTGGTTGTAACTGGTCAGTTAGAGCCTATGGCTATTTTGAAGTGGGTCATTTAATGAGCCTGTTTTCATTCATCTTGGTGGTCGCTGTGGGATCTTCTGCCTTGCTTAAGTTTCCATTGCTCAAGGCTGTTGCTTAAAATCAGTCTCTACACATATATTATCTAAATTTATATTTTTCAGCACGCACATTATATTGTGTCAGAGTCAAATCCTTTCCCCCTTCATCCTGTACTCAAAACTTAAAAACCTTCAGTGGATGCCTACTGGTCTTAGAATACAAACTAGCACTTTTAACATGAAGTTGACAAGGACCTGTGTGATTCGATTCTTCCTTCACCAGCCTCATCTAGATTCTCTGCACTGTTTCTCCACATGGAAGAGAAAATAGTAGGAGTCTTCTGACCTAGACCTTGTTATGTAAAGGAAAAAATATATATACTGGACACTTGTTAAAAACATCAAGGAAGAATTCATTCAAGACTATTATAATAGAAGAAAGAGATTGAACTCAATTAAGTTGAAACAAAAGGGGAAAGAATTTTGAAACCCTGGGGTGAGCTAATAGTGAAGGATGTTATTGGGGATGTTATTGGGGATGTTATTAGAGGATGTTCATGGGGAGGTTGGTCAATGTGATTAGGCCATCTGTGTTTTCTAATTGTGGCTTATTGAAGTTATACTCCTGCCCATCCACAGAGAGTAGGAGACTTGGAGCCTTACTTTTTTTTGATGGTTACATTTCAAAGGGATAGCTTCCAGGTTCTTGAGAAAGGCATTCAGAGGCTGTATAAGATTTACATCACAAAGGAGTAGAAAAAGAATTTACAGGGGCGCCTGGGTGGCGCAGTGGGTTAAGCGTCCGACTTCAGCCAGGTCACGATCTTGCGGTCCGTGAGTTCGAGCCCCGCGTCAGGCTCTGGGCTGATGGCTCAGAGCCTGGAGCCTGTTTCCGATTCTGTCTCTCTGCCCCTCCCCCGTTCATGCTCTGTCTATCTCTGTCCCAAAAATAATAAATAAACGTTGAAAAAAAATTAAAAAAAAAAAAAAGAAAAAGAATTTACAGTTGCTAGTTTTCTAAAGTAAATGCTGTATAAAGAGACATCAGGGGCCTATCACCAGGAATAAGCCTGTCTAAAGTTTAGTCAAGCATATCTTGGTCAAATAGAAGATTTGGAATTTGGAAATCCCCCTCTCTACAAAGTCTGCTTTGAAAATTATTCCCTTGCTGTGGAGTTACTAGGATTTTAAAACTGATCAAAAGTATTATTTTACTTGATGGTACCTGACTTCTGCTTTCTCAGGGATAACAAGAAAAAACACAATGATTTAAGAGAGTTAAATCACAGCGATAATGAATAAACTCTCGAGACATTGCTTAATATAGAGTCTTAGAGCTCAGGCTCTGATGTTGGACATTGTATGAATAGCACTTCTGCTTTCTTTCTCTAACAGTCTTTCTATTACCTAGTTTCTTTACCTGTAAAATGGAAATAATAATAGTGAGGTGTCTAAATGTGGTGTCCCAATCAGATGGGGGGCCCCAAATGTGGGGGTGACGATTAGGTGAAAGCTGGTGTCTTGGGCAGTGATAGAATTCACCTGAGACAGAACAAAGGAGATAGAAGTTTACTGAATACATAGCAAGGGAGTGGTGGGCAGCCCAGCAAAGGAGAGGCTGTCTGCTATGAGGCAGTGTGTAGGACTGTTTTTAGAGGGAGAGGGTGAGGAGGTATGGCAATGTATGGAATCTTCCCTTTTTTGGTACCTGTGCCTAGTTGTTAAGTAGCCCTTTGGTCACTTAGGGCCTATGGATATATGAAGTGGGTCACCTGATGGGCCTGTCTGTATTCAGTGAGGTGGTCGCTTTGGTCCTTTTCTAGATTCCATAGCTCAAGCCTGTTTGCCTAAAAGCAGCTTCTACAAATAGCACTTAGATGGCAGGATTTGTGAGAGAGTAAATAATGCATGTAAATGCGTTAATAAGATTGGCTTTTTAGCAGGTATATAATACATGCTAGCGATTATTTTTTATTGTTAATACTGTTGTAAAGACTTTGTTTTGCTTCTAGAAATGGAATAGTAGTGTTGGCTATTCTAATATTCAAACTAGGTAAGAGTTAAGTGGTCTCTTCAAGTGGTCTGACCTAAAGAATGAATGAGAAAAAGTGTACGAAAACATAGTAAGGGATCTAACCTTTTTCCTCCCTATATCTCCCATGCACTTCCCTCAAAAAATTAAAAAGAAAAAAAAAGGAAGTAACTCTTAGAATCTTATAGTTTCTATGGGAAAACAGGCTATTCCAACTGATTGGCTTTGGTTTCTGGACAAGGTGCATGTGTAGCCTTTCAGTGAGGGCATACCAATCAGTTATTCTCAAGAGTCCTAATTGCTTTACAAAATGTTTATGTTTCATTACAGTCAACTGGTCTGTCTTTTAAATGATGATAACAACCTATTTCTCAGAGATGATGGTGAACATAAAGGATTTAAATAATACACCATATGAAAACTATTCATATTTTTCTGTATTTGCATCTAATGTATACATCTGTCTAGTTCTCTACATTTACACAAAAGAACAGGTATTTACAATTTATTGAAATATACAGATAATTTATATACAGGGAGAAGACTGTTTCCCTGTTTAACTGACTTTTATGATGTACCCTGTGAGTTTCTATTAGTCCCCTATGGACATGTATTTTCCCCAGCAAGCAGTGAAATGACATACTTAAATTTGGATGGGATGGCATACCTGAGAATATGTGATTTTACACAAGTGCAGCCCAGATTAAGTCTTGCCTCAGCTTTTAAATACCTGATATTGGATGCGCTCAAATTAATATTCTGACTTCTTCGAATAACCTGATTATATTAGTCTATACAAATGAGATTAAGAAGGTAATGTATTAAAATGTCACATAATAAATTTCCGAGTACAACATAAATGACATATAGAGAAGAAACTATATTGGCCTAAATGTCTTTGATTCCCATGTTTAGCAACAGTAACTGAAAGCCAACAACATGATATTAAACTGTAATTGTACACACACAGAAATGTTTCTGAAGATCTTGCCAAAATATCCAATGGTGTAGGATAAAATTGCCTAGGCTTCTCTTTGGCTCCATTTCAAAAGCATAATTAGTTTTCCTGGTTGTTATTTTTGACTTGCATTTTTCAAAGCAAACAATAACTTATGGAGAATTACTAGGCAGATATGCATGTGGTATTAAATCATAATTATATCTTGAATATTAATCTTACCTTTGTTGTAACATTTGAAAATATCACAAGAAAGTTAAGATATATATTTACTTATATTACAAAGTTAGTGGCATAATGTATATTGATAACCATAGAAGAGAGTCTTTCTTTTTTTTAATTTAATTTTATTTTTTTAAATTTATATCCAAATTAGCGTATAGTGAAACAATGATTTCAGGAGTAGATTCCTTAGTGCCCCTTAGCCATTTAGCCCATCCCCCCCCTCCCACAACCCCTGCGGTAACCCTCAGTTCTCCATATTTATGAGTCTCTTCTGTTTTGTCCCTCACTAGGTTTTTATATTATTTTTGTTTCCCTTCCCTTATGTTTATCTGTTTTGTCTCTTAAAGTCCTCATATGAGTAAAGTCATATGATATTTGTCTTTCTCTGACTGACTAATTTCATTTAGCATAATACCCTCCAGTTCCATCCATGTAGTTGCAAATGGCAAGATTTCATTCTTTTTGATTGCTGAGTAATACTCCATTGTATGTATGTGTGTGTGTGTGTGTGTGTGTGTGTGTGTGTGTGTGTATACACACATATATACCACATCTTTATCCATTCATCCATCAATGGATATTTGAGCTCTTTCCAGACTTTGGCTATTGTTGATAGTGCTGCTATAAACATGGGGGTGCATGTTTCCCTTTGAAACAGCACACCTGTATGCCTTGGATAAATGCCTAGTAGTGCAATTGTTGGGTCATAGGGTAGTTCTATTTTTAGTTTTTTGAGGAACCTCCATACTGTTTTCCAGAGGGGCTGCACCAATTTGCATTCCCAGAGAAGAGAGTCTTTCAACAAGATTATGAGCTATGGAATCTAGGAAGTTATTTGAATTAAATTAGGCACATGAGCATGCAAACATGTGTACACAATGCCAAAGTGACTAATGATAAATAAACAAATTCAACAGTAAATAGTGGCCCTGCTCTGGTGGCTGAATTGATTTGACTCTGACAAGACAAAATCCAAAAAAGAGCTTCCCAATTCAAGCAGTTTATCTTGACTAATGTTTTTTTATTATTTTTATTTTTAAATCTTCATTCTGGGGCAGACAGTCTTTCTTTTGGGAATAGACATAGGAGGATAATGAGGTTATAAGTGAAATACTTAAAATTTCATTTTGAAGGGTGCCTGGGTGACTTAGTCAGTTAAATGTCTGACTTTGGCTCAGGTCATAATCTCACAGTTGTGAGTTCGAGCCCCGTATAGGGCTCTCTGCTATCAGTCTGCTTCGAATCCTCTGTCTCCCTCTCTCTCTGCCCCTACCCTGCTTGCTCTCTCTCTTTCAAAAATAAACATTAAAAAAATTATTTTTGAAATGAAGGTAGCATTTCTTATATAAACAAACAGAAAAAAGATACTTTTGAAGATTGCCTACCTTCTTTAGAGGACTGATCTTCCTAACTCATGTGAGAGTTTAGATATTTTGATTCTTTAAAGTGGGAATAAATTGATTTAAAAGAGATTTAAATGCATATCACATATAAATAAGTAGGCCTCATTTTCTAAGATCTCATCTCTTCGGGCAAATGAAGTAAATGGAAAAGACCTATCGTTTTTATTTTTGTGTGTGTGGTTTCTGTCAAGATTTTTAATTAGTTAATTATTTCTTACTAGAAAATAAAATATATAAGGTTTAAGAGACTAAAAGTGAATATATTATATTGAATGCAATGAGGAAGATATATATGATAATAGGATATATAGAAGGATATATAGGTTATATAGGATATATAGGATATATAGAAGGATATGTATTATTAGGATATATTGAAGGCTGTAAAGTGGTATGAGATATCCTAGTGTGTAGGAGGTCAGAAAGCAGGAATCCCAGGAAACTCCTAATGATTTCAGCTGTGTGCAACAAAGATGTGTTTGTTTTCCAGCAGATCACTGTACATTATTGACCATGAGCTTCTGGGGAAATAATGACATTTTATTCTCTTCTGTCTTGCATAACTTGTACAAAGTCTCTCTATAATGAAAGTAAATCCAACTGGAACTCTGGAACTCTGCTGGCAATGGAGTCTATCAAATATACTTTGAAGAACAAGGAGAGAATTGAGGAGAGACAGAATGGTTCACATATCCTGCTAGAATTGTCTACTCTGTGGTCAGTGATTATTTAATCTGAGGTCTTATATCTCCTACCTTACACGTAAAATATCCTTTGTGCATGTAAATAATTTACACGTCAATTCATCAAAGAAAAAGTATACGTTGTGCAGAACTGTTTTATCTATGGTTAAGATGGTATTAATTTTTGATGATTTTATACAAGACTTAAAATCAACAGATTTTCTTTTGAATCTTGTTTAACAATGTATAAATTCGTGACCAAACCATCTCAGTTTGCCCAGGGTTGAGGAGTTTCCTGGTGCTGTGAATTGTTTTCCCTCAAAATTCATATGCTAAAAGCCTAACGCCCAATGTGACTATACTTGGAGATAGGGCCCTTAGGAGGTAATTAAGGTTGAATTCGGTAATAAAGTTGGGGCCCTAATCTGAAAAAAGAGATCTCTTTCTGCTCTCATCCAGAGGAAAGTTGATGTGAGGATGCAGTGAGAAAGCAGTCCTCTGCAAACCAGGAAGAGACACCCATCAGAAACTAGACCTTCCAAAACCTTGATTTTGGACTTTTCCCACTCCAGAACTGTGAAACAAAATGAAGCCATGAAATCTGTAGTATTTTGTTATAGCAAGCAGAAAAGACTACTACACCGAAGCAGAGGACTTCCACTGCTAAGACTGGAGAAGACCTGGTCAAACTGGGATGGAATGCTGGATACCTTAGGGTATCCTTTTGAATGAAAAATGTTGTGCTATAGAAGAGCTTAAGGTAGGGTTAATATTCAAGAAGTTTCAAATATATGATACATTATATTGATGTGAGAAACAAAGGAAAAATTAAAAAAAATTAAATATCCATTCTATTTACAGCGCATTGACAAGTCCTTGAAACAGACAGAGTGACCTTCCTCTGGGACCTCAGCTGCCTCCATGTTGACATTTTCCTAATGGCAAAAGGCAATCTTAGCTTAACATTATTCTGACCTCTAGGATCCTGTGAGTCTGCTTGAAACAAATAGAAATTCCTTTGGAAACTTCCTTTGTCTCTACCCTCCTTCCCCAAATATATGTTAGCAATCATCCTTCAAACATATGGCCCACTGATATACATCTGAAGGGTCTCATGACTGAGAGTTTACTAAAAGTAATAAATGACTTTTTCCTAACAAAAGCTAGCTCCTCAGGGTTCTGGAGGCCTTGTTTGGAAAATTCCTTGAAGTCTTGTGCTGTCCCTATGCCCCTCCCAACTTGAAAGTATATAATTAGTCACCATCACAACCTCAGTGCTTCTCTTTCTGCTGATGGGTCCTGTCCCCGTGCTTTAATGAAACCACCTTTTTGCACCAAAGAAATCTCAGAATTTCTTTCTTGGCCATCAGCTCAGAGCCCCAACATTTCCACATCAATATGATATCTAATTGCCATCTGAGCATCATTTAGGTGAATCATAATTGTCTGTGTGTCTCCTGAGTATGTACTTTCTATTCATAAGAGAAAGGAGTAACATTCTTTCCTTTGAATCGTCTAATCAAAGATTAATTTTTTTTCATATTTTAACATTTCTGAAAGCAGTTACAATCTACATCTTACAATCAGTGACATCTGACAACTATTACTGACAGCATTTTTTCTCTCTCTTCTTTTAAAGTTTATTTATTTTGAGAGAGAGAGAGAGAGAGAGCACATACACATGTGTGGGAGGGGCAGAGAGAGAGAGAGAATCCAAGCTGGCTCTTCACTGTCAGTGCAGAGCCTGACACAGGCCTCGAACTCACGAACCATGAGATCATGACCTGAGCTGAAGTTGGACACTTAACCAACTGAGCCACCCAGGCACCCCTAGCATTTTTTTTCTCTTAGTAGATATAAAATACTGATGCAGCCTATGATTCATGTTTGTCTTAATTGTGATAGAATATGTAGTGATATTTATTAATGTGTGCACCTACAAAAACCTAGACATATGTGCATACACAAATAATCTCTATCATTTTGATTGCCTAGGAGAATATTTGCTGTTATACTCTTAAATTGGATTTTGAAACTGAATAAACAGCTAAGCTCTAAGTCTAAAGGAACACAGGGGAATCGTCTTGGCAAAAAGAGAAGAAAATAGAAAGATATATTATTCACTGAGATATTTGGGTAATACTTTGATCACTGCTTATAAGTCACTCAGGTCCACAGGGAACTACTGAGCAAACTTCTCATCATAATGGAGGCTTTTTTATTTGTTTGTTTGTTTGTCACTGGCATTATCCCAGGAGATGAGAAGTGCCTAGCTTTGGATAACTATGTAGAAATGACAGGGAAAGGGAAATATGTGCTAGATCCCAAACAGTTTGACAGAGCCTCCAAAAGTGCACTACTAAAACACATACCATTCTTTGGTAATCTGTATCATTCCAGATAATATTAGTAAATCTCTTGATTAAGTAAAAAGAAGTTGGAATTGATACCATTGTTTTCAGTAAACTCACAAGATGATTAACAATTCCATGTAATTTAGAGAAGATGGAGTGGGTCAAACAAAATTTTGCATCCAATCATTTGGAAGTATAAAAAGATAATAATAAATAATGATAAATAAATAAAAACAAATAAATAATAATAAAATGTGTCCCTATGTAATATGTATAGATACTTATGGATATATCCACGGCTGTAAAGACCATTCAAAGAGAAAGCATTTCCCAATGAATTCAACTCTCTACAAGAATGTTTATACAAATTATCTACTTTATAGGACCACTGGGATTTTTATGAACTCTTCGTATTAAAGTGAATAAAGGGAGGGAAAAGATTGCATTTTCAGTGTAAAATTTAATTGGTAGAATAGAAAGTTGATAAAAAGGAAATACATTAAGTACACTCTATTTTAAAGAAGACGTATAGTATCTATATAGAGTACCCAAAAGGATTATAAACAATGAGTTGTTACAAATAATGTGCTAGGATGCTTTAAAGCCTACTAAGAAGAGATTTGAGTTTCTGGAAAGCATCCCTTTTATTGCCTCAAGCAACATATTAACCTAATGAAAGTATGTATGCCTTTGACAGAAAGACTGCTTAATCCTAGAACTACAGACAGATAAACCTTGAAAAGACCACACAAAATGACTTGATCTAGGTCATTGTGGGTAAATGTGTTTAAGAAGAGGAAGAAGAAAAGGATACTTGTACAGAAAGAGAATTGCATTACAAATGCAGAAAATTTGAGAACAAAAACAGGATAGAAGAAAAAGTAAAGAAAAGACAGTCTACAACATGGGGGAAGATATTTGCAAATGACATCTCTGATAAAGTACTAGTATTAACGCCATATAAATGACTTCTACAACTCAACATCCAAAAAACAAATAATTGAATTTAAAAATGGGCAGAATACATAAGCAGGTATTTCTCCAAAGAAGAAATGCAGAAGGCCAACAGACACAATGAAATGATGCTCAACATCACTCATCACCAGAGAAATGCAAATAAAACTACAAAGAGATATCATCTCATACCTAACAGAATGGGTAAAATAAAAAAAAAAAAAAAAAAAAAAAAAAAAAAAAAAACAAGAAACAGCATGTTGGTGCGGGACGTGGAGAAATAAGAACCCATACACTGTTGGTGGGAGTGCAAACTGGTGCAGCCACTGTAGAAAATGGTATGGAG